AAATGCGATTTCAATACCCCGCATATTGATAGCGGCTCCCTGATGTGTGAAAATAATATACAATATTAGAATGTTTGCGAGAGCAGGACACACACGTTGCGGGAGCGGGCGGTAATGGTCAGAAATTCAGCGGGAGTGGGCTTAAGAAAACTGTCCCGCTCAGGTCTCTAGGCTGCGCGTCAACACACACTTATTTTTTTTTCGCGCTCCCCCATCTCCACCCCCAATCATTAGTGCCACTGATTCGGTCTTTGACAGAACATATAGGACAATTTTTTAAATAATAATAACAAAATTTTTTTCAAATTTAATTCAAGCACTTTCAAGGACCTATGTTTGTTTTCAAGTACTTTCCAGGCCTTGAATCCATATGTCTGAAATTCAAGTACTTTCAAGAAGCGTGGGAACCCTGGATTTAAAGCAGGCCGAATGCTAACGAGCCTTAACTTACGAAAATGATCATAATTTGCACGATGGAAGAATTATCGTCTTGTCGTATACAACCATTCAAAAACTCGGCAGAATTTATGTGACCGCTGCACCTGATGTTCATAAACTTTCATAACTGGTAAGTGTTTTTTCTTTTGCCTTGTGAACTGGCCGAGCCTTAATGATTCTGTTTCTTTACATGTATTTGCTTACTGACCGTTGCATGCAATCGTGAAATACAGCATTTTTTAAAATTGGCTATTCGTTGTGGGAAAAAAAAAAGATGTCGGGTTCGGGCTCTAAATTGAACTGTGCCGCTCGGGTCGGGTCAGACGATCTCGGGTACGGGCCGGGTTCGGGCTTCACTTTAAAGCCCGTGCAGACCTCTCTACAAAGGAATACTTTTATTTCTTTGCTGCTAGCTAGATGAAGCCTGGGGTTTGAGGCTTAGTTGGAAGAGGTTTACAGGCTTTTATAACAGTCTATAAAAAGAGGCCTAATTAAAGTTGACAGCACTGCCAGTTACAGTAATCTTTCTCTACTAACACAAAAGATCTCACACAAAACAGAGCAGACTAAAATAAATACAGCCTCACAACTCAAATTGACACAACTAGCTACTGTCAACTTACCACAGAGGAAGAGGAACAGCCATAGGAAAGCAGAAAAAAACAGCAGATTAAGACAATTAAGACAATCGTAAACTTACAGCGTGAAAATGGCACAGAAACACCCGTTTTTCTGCTCTCTGCTGCCTTTTGTGCTGTACCGTTTGTGTGTTTTACAAGCCGACATGTACCTTAGCCTTGCCATCCAGAGCACCAGTGCCTGCGTAGATCTTGCTGATCGAGTCTCCATTGGTGGACCACATGGTGCGGAAAACCTCCTGAAAACGCGCCACCAGCTGAGGTTTCTCGGTCAGACCCATGTCTTCCAATTGTTTTGGAAGCATCTGAACACCACAGACATATTACATAATGAATGAAAAACAAACAAATAGTAAAAAGAAAAAAAAACTTCAAACTGTAGTAAGAAAACAGAACTGTGTCACAAACACACCTCAAGCGCAACGAAGGCCTGGACGCTGTTTGTTCGATCCAAGCAGTCGAGACAATTGGAACGAATGGTCCCACTTTGACATCTGCGGTAAACAAAATTGTGTTGGACAATTTTATGAGCTAGTTTTGGTCATTTTGTGATTATCAATGTTTAATAACATTTTTAAAAGAAAAAATGTATTCCTGCTTTAAAATACCCAGTGGCTATGAGAAAAATAGATCCACTAGTTTTTTTAAGTATACACACAATGAATTAAACAAACAACCTAATGACGAAAATGTTTTGCTGTTATATGATATTCCTCCACAACCAGGTGTGCTGGGATGCTATATAACCTCACCTCTGAATGCCGGCCTCTCCTGAGTAGTAGAAGAAACCACATTCCTCCAGAAACTTGCTGATCTGAGGTTTCAGGACACTGTTGAGCTTTTCGGTCTTCCCACCTTTAACCATCTGATGATAGTCAAAGTTTAACATTCTCACAGCGCTTGCATGCTCTGAAGCTTTCAGGTGACTCTGTGGGCGAAGACAAAGACAGTCTTTACACAGTAAAGAAAGTGGATCAACTGCTTTATGGTTTTGTCATACTTGAGTACTGAAAGACATCTTAAATACTGAAAGACATCTTAAATAATGCATTGACCAACCTGAATATTTCCTAAACAACAATCACCTGGAATGCTTTGCTGAGCATGTGTTCACCCTCCTTCATACCCAGCAGGTTGATGATCACCTGTTTGCCATACAGCCTCCTCAGGGCACTAAAGTGTCTGGACAGGAAACATCACACAGGGTTCATACACATTCAAACCTTATTGAAAAAGAATAAATGAAAAATGTTTATCCAATCCTGTGATCCATCGCTTCAAGAAAAATCAAAGGTGATTTAAAACAAAGGAAGCCAAGGAAACAAGTGATCAATAGAGGGGGAGGGGTGGGGGGTGAAAGCCTAACGACTGTGTTGTCTGCATCTACTTCCTCTCATCATGACCTGACTCAGCACTCCAGGGAACAGAGTAGTGACTCATGATGAATAAAGAATGTCCATCATGCTCAGTGTGAGGAGCCAAGGCTGGATAAGAATAAACCCTCCCACATATTCAGGATAAGGCTTTCTTAATGCAGATTTTATTGTTTTAATCAACCTAATCTTGCACTGAAAAAAAAAATCAATAAGATATATTATTGATGAGCACTGAGGGAGTATGTCTTTAGTGGTTATTAACCACCCAAATATAACAAATGCTTTAAAACAGGCTCACAAAGACTGACCTCTTCCAGAGTTTTCATTTGAATGAATGTAAGATTTAAAAAAAATATATAAATAACAGGTTTAACTTTTTTTTTTTTTTAATACTTAACTATTAGGTAAATAAATGTTTAAATTAAAACGTAAATTATTATTTTTTAATTAAATTTTAGTTTCATTCTTATTTGCAATCAATAAAATGTATTATATCAGAGGAATTATAACAAAATTATTTTTTTGTTTTTAGTTTTAGTAATTTTTTAGCACTTCAACCTACTTTTTTTCAGCTAGTTGCCAGTGAAACAATTATAATTTTCTGTTGTAAGTTTTATACATTACAATTTTTCATCTAATATTTACATTATTTTATTTCAGTTTTATTTCCATTAATAATAAATCCATTTTAGTTACCAACAATTATTTTAATGCAATGCATTTAAAATGTATTTTGGTCCCACTTTATATTAGTTGCCTTTAACTACTATGTTATTACATTAAAAAAAATTGTTTGGTTTCTTATGTTTTCACATATGTTCAAACATATTGGCCCGGTTTCACAAACGGGGCTTAGCTTAAACCAGGACTAGGCTTCAGTTAAATTAAGATATTTAAGCAACTTTTACAAAAATGCCTTAGAAGAAAACATTACAGGTGTGCATCTTGACACAGAACAATGACACCGAAATATTTTAAGATATGTCAGAGCAAGATATTTTCAGTTGAGACAGCTCAAACATGCATTTTAGTCTGGGACTAGCTTAAGCCTTGTCTGTGAAACCGGGGGATTATGTTTCTTTTGCTGGATGATACGTGGGATACGGTTAAGGAAAGGGACAGGTTTTAAAGGTATAGTCAGGTTTAGGAGTAGGTTAAAGGGTTTGTAGTTATCTCTGTGTATAGACATTACAGATGAAATTACAAGCAGCTGTTATTATAATAGTAAGTACATGTAACGTGTAACAAGGACACCTTACAATAAAGTGTTACCAAATAACTACAACGTAATAACATGCATTGTATGATTAATTATTATGATTAATTCAAATTTTATTACATTGTAGTTATAAAGACACTTAATGTAAAGTGGGTCCATTATTTTTAGATGCATTTTTACGGTCACATGATCATTTACAGATAATGAGTTTAGACTTGTGTTTATATCAGCATGACTAAGGGCTGGACATCTTACGCTGCTTTTTCAGCATCTCATGCCATGAGTGCTGATTTTTCTACGACACCATGAGCAGTCTGCATTTATAAGTCACCCAAGTTAAAAAAGTTCAACTTTTAAATGATCCCTCGAGACCCCCTGCTGCACTTCATCCAGCTGTTCTGTGTGTAATTGCCGCCTACAAATCCATCAGATCGGGCTCTGGTAGACCTTAATTACCCACCAACTAGCCGAAAATGCATCCTTAGACATGACTGAGCTTGCCCATCCAGACTGTTAAATAACAGGTCTGTTTGAAGCAGGGCCCATACACTGCGCTAATGTCTGCTGGATCGCTTTCATCACGCACTAACACTTGGGCCTGAGCCAGAACAGCTGGATACTAGAGCAAGCATCATCAGAGACCAGCAGAATCTTAATTACCTCTCAAAAGCCGGTGCGTTTGCTTCAAAACCACGGGACAGCTTAACACGATGAGATCCCACCTTTGTGGAAAGAGGATAAAAACAAAAAAGGAAGAATCATGAGTTGAGTTGTTTCATATTTGGTGCAAGAGGAAATTAAGGTGGCAGAAGGAAAGGAAGATTAGAGAGACAGCAAGAGAAAGACCACACAGGCCTGACCCGCCTGCCGAGTTGAGCTGCATTTGAAGATACAAAAAACATTTGATGATTTGAAGATACAAAAAACATTTGAAACATTTCATGATTTCACAAGCTCACTGAAGCCTGAAGATCTATCAGAGATACCGATCATACCAGGAAACACATGAATCCTGGCTAGACAGTCGTGCTCTAGACAGAAGTTTCAACTGCTAATGCTGGCTAGCTGCAGATTTTAATAGTTGCAGGAAGCGCCTTTCTAATAATGGTTTTCTATTTGTGTGACATTTGATGAACTGCTCTCACAACCTTCAGTATAACGTATTGCGTTCACACCTACAACCATAATAGGTAAGCTATACAGAGGACTTTCCCATCTCTAGGCTATGACTGGCTTCTCATTTCCTGTAGTCTCATATAACTTGGTCACTGAAACAGTTACACCTTTGAACACAATTGGTTAGTGTTCTAACCACAGGATTGTTGTTGTTGTGTCTTCTAACTAGGGTGACTCTAAAATCGCCTTTATACCATCAACATTTGATCTATATGCCTTTTGTTTCATTTATTTTAACCCAGTATATTTCAACATTTTACACCAAGGGTCTTCAATAAGGGGCCTGCGATGGTACTGCAGATGGTCTGCCAATGTGAAGAACTATTAAAAAAAAGTTAAACAAAAATCCAATAAGTTAACTTAAAGCTAAAACAACTACATTAAACATTGTATTATTTATATACTATTATTTAAACTATATACAAAATTACATACTTATTCTACTAAATAAGTGTGTATACTAATATTTATACTCTATACTAAATTACACTTATTATACTAAAATGCACATACAAATAATATTATATACTAAAATATCAATAATCGGTAATTAAATACTTTTATATTATTCATTTAAATTTAAATGTAATTTTTTTTTTTGTAATTGTGTTATGCCTTATATGATTTTTCCATTTTTACACTTTTTAAAAATATGTTTATTTTAGCTTTAATTTTTAATTTAATTAAAATTTTATTTCAGTTTAGTTTTCATTTCTTTTTAGTACTTCAACTTATTTTATTTAAGTTAGTTGCCAGGGCAGAATATCAAATTTTTGGTTTAAGCTTCATACGTTTACGTTTTTGCATCTAATATTTACATTTTATTTTATTTCAGCTTTATTCCTATTAATGAAAAATGATTAATAGTTTTAGCTTTTAGGTAACAACTACAACACTGAAAAAAGAATGAAATAAAATCATTCATTATTACATAATTGAATGCAATGTATTTACATTTGTAATATATTTAAATATGTTCATTTGTTATTTTTTATCAGTATGTATAAGATGGTCCCTGTTCTGCCTCTATATGCAACAAGGGGCCTTCAATTCAAAAAGGCTGAAGATCTCCAGTTTAGAGCTGTTGGATATTTATGCTTTATCTAGACTCAGTCAGTCTGTCAGAGTTCCACTCAATTCTGCCTCTGCAGGTCCCTGCCATTAATATTTCATACATTCGAAATGGCAGCAGAGACTGGCTCATATTACCCTGAGCTTTCTGGAAGCAAAGAAAAAGTATCCAGTGGCGACTCAACTTCCTTTATTTTGCACCTAGCTTTGCACCGAAGACAATGGAATCCCTTATAACTAATACCACTATGGCCTGAAGTGACACACAAGGTTCTGTGGAAAGCTTTGAAAAACAGCTCAAGAAGGGTCACCTCACCAGCTTCCCACTAAAAGCAACAATGATAATGTCTATGCAATGTCAGAGGAAAGACAGGCATTTCCAGACCTGCTTGCTGGCATCTTAACTTAATTTCACAAGAAGCCAACAGATTTATCAGAACCTGGATCCTTTCCAAAATGAGTCACGGTCGGTTTAGATGCAGCTTTCACCGACTGACATTGCACAAACTCTTTGCAGTGAAGAACAGATCATCCACCAGACAAAACTAAACCTTCGATATACCAACTGTCGGTTCCCATGCTGTCCTTTTGGCTCTCGACTTTGATTCAGCTGCAACAAAATCCCCTGAAACGAGTGTTTCTGATAATATGAATAAAGGGGGTCAGCACTGGCCATGTGTGACGAAGTGGAAACACAAAAAAATAAGTTCATTATGATGAGTCAGCAGGAGCATGGAACTCCAGCAAGCTCAATTCAGTGGAGCGCAATGCAAACATTTTTCCTCAGTGTTATTTGAATACATGCATACATCATATTGATTCAAAGCTTTATTGTACCTGAATTCCTGGCTGCTCCCAGAACAGAGGTATTGACCCTCGGATCTGAATGAAGGAGGATACTTTGTCATCAAGGAAAATAACCTGTAGGGAAAACAAGTAAAAGCAAAATCTTAGCCTTGGCATGTCACATGTGACATTTAAACCCTATGGTATTTCTCACTTAGAGGACTAACTGGAATGAATGTACAATATTTTATTTCAATAATATTTATTCTTTAATATTTTCTATTTTGAGGGGATTTCATGGTTCTAGACAATATTCACCTCTAAATTATGTACCATATGTTTCTAACATTAGAAAAATGTTAAAAATGTTATTTTCAATTAATATAGTGTTTAGGTTGAAAACAGAGCAAAGGTATTAATGGCAGATTGGTGCCATGTAGTTGGTGCATATAGCAAGTGCCACAAAAGTCAGTCTAAAGTATGATGTTTCGTATCATTCCAGTAAAATAAAAAAAGAGCTAAAGACCATCCGAGGGTTAAAGAAGCGAGTTCAAAAGGTGACTTGCAATTGACTCATTGTTGGCATACCTGCTCAGTCTCCACAAAGTTGGCCACCTGGCCGTCGTCATTTGTGCCTCGGACATTAAAACGCGTGCCTGCTCTCTCTGAGCTGAGCCGAGAGATCACGCAAGCTTTGGCCTGCTTGTGCCCAGCGTAGATGGTGCGGATCTCCACTCCGCCACACATCAACCTCAGCAGCCAGTCATCACAGTTCACCCCATAATGCTTGAGATGGAGATGGAGGGACTGATTCCTGTGAAGCGGTTACATAATTACATCACCCTTACATCCATTTATCATCCACCAATTAAATTCAACATTCTGAGTCAGTGACATTTTGTTGGAAACATTGTGCACACATAAAACAAACCCTATATGGCAACTAAAAAAAATGTTTTGAATAAAATGGTATTTATATTTAATGGAAAAATCTTTTAACACTGAATCAAATTGACCTTTGAAAAAGACCCACCAGAAAAAACGATTATCAGATGTGTCTTCTCTGATTCTGCGGTGCGCGTTCAAGCTGAGGTCCAGACTCACTCCGGTGGAGGACCAGGCGAAATAGAAGTTACCAGAGTTTAAGACTTTCCTGACATCAGAGATGCGGTCCTCATCCGAGGGGTCGTTTTTCAGAGAGACGAAGTCCGTGCCTGTTACGCGAAAAACTTCTGAATCCTGGACTTTTCCCACTGAACTGCAGCCTGTTACGACCACCAGGCTGTGCAGCATAGAATCCCCTTTGGAAGAAGAGTGAAGTGGATTCAGAGCTGGTAGATTATGCACATTTTGTAACCACATATTTAAAATGTGCAAGTTCATAATTAGTTCATTGAAAAACCCATTTGTATCGGCCCCTTATTTAAATATTGAGGTGGATAGGTCTCAATGTCTATGCCGTTTCCTAAGAACTTAAAATATGACAGTGAAAATATTATATACACTCACAAACTCAAATAATAGCTATCCTTGTAGTTACACTGTAATTAGTGACTATATTTGTACAACAACTGATTGATAACATTTTGTGCATTTACCTTTCATAATTTTTGTTTTGCTGTGAATTTCAGTGTTTTGGTAATATTTCTGCTCTACTTATCCTCAAAAAGAGCAGTTTTTTTTTTTTTTTAAATCTGGCGACAGGGAGGATTTGTATTTTTTGTGATGACAAACACAACCGGCAAGTCAAATTAAATAAATAAAAAAAGAAGCTGAGAAACTGTACCAAGGTTAAGACGAAGAACTCCCAGGATCCCATAAGCATCCAGCATCTTGGTGTACGCCGTCTTGATGGTCTCCTTCTCTGCCGCCGCTGTGGATGACACCAAAACATTTACTTAAAACCACCACATGCCATATTTATTGATGATTTATAATCTCCAAAACAGTTTTATATGCAAATAGGCAATATTTAAGCTTGCTTTCTTACATCTAGGAAATTCTGTGAATCAAAGGGGGTGGGGGGGGGGCTTATGATTCAATAATATTTCAATAAATGACTGGTTTGACATTTTTCATATTTAAAATAAAAAAATAAGTACTAAAAAGGGTATATGGACAGCCTTACACAGTACAGCAACAGCTCCAGACTCGAACATCAGGCATTCTTCTCGATTTCTGGTCTCCACAATCACACTGTATGGAGGCGGATCCAGCTTATGATAAATACGATAACCTTTACTGAATGCCATGACTCGACACAACCTGTCTCAGCCCTGCATAAGAAAAAAATAAATACCATTTACTTTGAAAACATACCATATGAAGGAAATGCCACAGGGTTACCATATTCAAACCCTAAACCGCCTGCAGGTTCAGATAAGCAGGTGCATCAAATGTCGCATTATGCAGAAAACACAATTCAAAGTGTATTATTAATGCATCCTGTCATAAACCATTGACATAAGAGGAAGGAAATAGACTTGCACAATTCGGGTTTTTGTAAATACACAATTTCGTTGCTAAAATACACTCTTAAGATTGCAATAAAACCATAAATGTTCAGCGCATTATATGAAAAGAAGGACATCAAGATGCTTACAAAAAACATGTTAGTTATGCTGTATTTCAGCAACACAACAGCAAGGGATGGAGAAGGAACCCAAATCCCAAGCAACGAGTTAAAATGTCCGACTCAAATGAGATAAACCGTGCAGAAACAGAGGATGACAGGTGCTCATCACAATGCCACACCACATACGATCAGATCTGCAACCCAAATATATGAGAATGTTTACAATTCATGCACCCACAGGCTGTCTAACCTTGGGCCACTGTCTCAGCGTGAGGCTGAAGGTTAGTGCACATGAGATTAACAATCATCCATATGATAACTAGAATGAAGACGACCAGGCCCCGCCGGCCATTTATCTGTCAAAATCAACAGTGAAGACAGACTGACAGCGCTAAAAGCCTTTATCACGACCAGCACTAACGGCTAATGTTAGCCGGCTAGCTCTCCATCGTCTTCCTGAACCATATAAACAGACATTTAACTGATAACAGCGCCACAATGTGTGCGTTTATACGTTAAACGTACAAATGTAATACCTCAGTATTCATTAAACATTTATGACGATGCTTGGTAAAGAGAAGGTCTTGTGTACCTGTCAGAATTGTGTCTGTCTTCCCCGGGTTGGAGATCGTATAAGGCTAGAAACAAAATGATTAGCGGGGCAGGTAGTTCAAGCACAGAAATACAACCGAAACCTAGAAAGGACAAGTACTATCTGTTGTTATGCCCCGGACAGCTTCCGGGAACTTAAGGTGTGCACTGATTGGCCAGATTTGTGTCATGTGATGTAGGAAATCGAAGTACTGACGGACATCGTGTCCTATCAAGTACATTTTTTTTTTTGTGTTAATTAAATACGACAAAATGACACCAAACTCTGGCAAGACGTCTGTCAGGTCATTGTAGATTTCATATATAAAGAGAGTTTTTAAATGCTTTGTTTGGGTTTGTCGAGAAGCAATATGAACATTTATGCTTCTATGCAACTTATTTTTTTGTTGTTGTTGTTTTCTATTTTTTGATATTCTATCCGTAAATGTAAGGTATTAAAAAGTAACGCCCTTTTTCTAAATTTCAAAGAGATATTATAGGATCTATATTACTTTTTATGCACCTCCTTAAAAAAAGCTAAACGCATGCTGACTTGATAGTGTTTTTATATGATGCCTGTTTTTATTTATCCATATTTTGATCGGTGGGCTGTTGCATGTAAGTGATCATTCATATAACGTTTATTTGTCATCTCTATTTCTGATTGTATATATTAGCACTGTGTTTTAGTTATGTATGTATGTGTTTTTTATTAATAGGCTATGTATTAACCATGGGCTTTTATTTAATCGCAACCCATGGTATGTATGCAATTGTTGAATAAAATGTAGACAGTGACTTTAATTTTAATTCGGCCATTATGGGCCGAGAGACGCCCTCTTCAGACAGAACTTAATTAAAGCAATAGTTATGGATTTATTTTTCCATGTCCATTTTTTTTTTTCAGTTCAGTCATAGATCCCTCCCATTTCGTACGCCTACTCAATATTACCGTAACATTTAGAAAAAGGGAATACTAATACTAATACAGTATTAGTATTAAAAAGTAGTATTAGTATTAGTAATACTAATACTAATACTAATACTAATACATACTAATGCAGTGGTTCTCAACCACAAAAACAACTATAGCCCTATTCGCACGGGATTAGTATTATCTGGAGACCTTGTGTGATTTTGAAATTACCCCCCCACATCTGAATTTCGTGTGGTGCATTCGCACAGGATAAGCGAAGCCTGTGATTTTACTCGAATGTACTGACTTGTCTCCGGATACCCGGATGTCAAGTCTTTGAGAGTCCCGTTCTATGGTCCAGATGGATTAAAAAAAAAAGAAAAGAAATTAATATAGTTTCGTGCCCTGTGACATTTACATTTCACCAGGTTAAAATAGTATCTCAAGCTTTAAGCTTGATTTATTTGTAACACATTAACCTCAAAACCTTTTCAGCCTTTTCTATCTACAAATTGTATGGTGTAGCGATATAACAGCACCCAAAATACTATCAAACACTCCAACGCAGCTCCATTCTTCGCGGAAGATGGATAAAAAGGCGCACAGCAAACAAAAACCTCGAAAAATGATATACGACCCGCCAAATGCAGGCCAAATCACAGAGATGCCGATTCGCACGGGACTAATATTATCACAGGACATCGGTGTTCGGCGAAATATGATAGGTCATTTGCGGGGGAATTTTTACTTTACAAATTACAGACATGGCCGATTCGCACGGGATTAAGATCACAGACAACCTCCGCAATTATTACAAATGACTGGAGGTCACCAGGTAATACTAATCCCGTGCGAATAGGGGTTATGATAAGAAAAACGTAATTATATACTGTAAATCATTTTGTTTTATTATCTGGACCAGAACACAATCAATATCCTAAGATTTCAATTATAACACAACAAATATGCAAATCTGTGAAAACGTCAATATCCTACAATTGACCAATAAACAAACAAATAAATAAATAAATGTAATTGAAGTAAAATAGCTACAAAACATTCAGAAAAATATTAAATTAAATGCAGTTTTAAATCCACACGCAATTGTTTGAATGGTTTTGCACATTTCGATGTATTAATTATAATACATTTACATTTAGTCATTTAGCAGACGCTTTTATCCAAAGCGACTTACAAATGAGGACAAAGCAAATAATACATCAAAAGGTGCAAAAAAAAAACCGTAAAAATGCAACGAAAGGACTGTTTCACCCATAGATATGTACATTTGTAAAAATGTACATGTATATATCTATAGTTCTGGATATGCACATATGTACAATTTCACAACTCAACCCGCCCATTCGAGGTGATTGGCAGCCTCACCAACCAATGACTTGTAGTCCTTAAATTCAACTGACCAATCAGCTTCTCAAGGGCAAGAAACCGGCGTTTCATAAGGGGTTGCGATCAGTCATGTTTCATAAACAAAACAGAGAAGACTGTTTAACTGTCACATTGATTACAGAAGAGTCTCAGCAGTAGAGAGGAATTTCTGATGTATTCTTTTGAATGAAGAAGTAAGTCTACAATCTGTTTGCATTGTTTGTACGAGTGAGCTGTAAGTAGACTGTGAGCTTACAAGTGAGCTGTATGTAGACTGGAAGATTTCAGTTATAACACAACCAATATGCAAATCTGTGAAAACGTCAATATCCTACAATTGACCAATAAATAAATAAATAAATAAATGTAATTGAAGTAAAATAGCTACAAAACATATTCAAAACATTCTTATGAATGAAGAAGTAAGTCTACAATCTGTTTGCACTGTTTGTACAAGTGAGCTGTAAGCAGACTGGTAGCTGTCCAAGGTGGTCAGTAGTGTGACAGTATTATTTGAGCTCTCATGATTCAACTTTCGTCTTGAAATTTGATGTTTCGTGTTGAATTATGTAGGTCTACACTTAGTCTGATCATGCAGACTTATGCAGTTCTCTTGGCTTTTGCAGACACATCCTCGACACAATGAAGAGACTGTACTTCATCGAGCCGATCGTCGCGATTTACGCGTTTGCCAGTTTTATGGTTTATCCCCTCGTGCAGCAGTACGTGTATCGCAGATTGTGGCTGGAGATCACAAACTCTTCTTACCCCGTGTCAGACAACACCTCCCATTGCACCGCCAACAGCACCAGCCACAGCAGACAGCGAGATGTGAGTAATGCCTACGTATGTCACATGATGACACAAACACTTGTACATCACGTACATATTTGCTTATAAATGCTTACTAATGAACTCCTTTGCATTATATAGCAAAAACATTTACAACAAGTGTTGCGCTTTTCTAATAGCTAACTTCATTTTTTAACAGTTATTTTTTACCAGCTAGTCCCAATATATTTTTAGCGGTCGTGTGCATCAGTTCCCCTCAAGTTCACACAGGTGTCTAGTAGAGTAACCACAGGCTCATCGCATTAACCGCATTAGTGTTGTCATGTCCACTTTTGAAGTGTTTATATATAAGGGCTTATATTGTGGGCTTGTTTTGTCAGTCAGCTTAATTTTTTTCTAGTAGTATCTGGAAACAGGTTTTTTTTAAATACATTTTTTATTTTTTTGAATAATCAAAATGTTTTTAGTGGGGTAATTTCCAGTATTTTGCAGAACATTGTTTTTTTTAAATTGTTAAGATTTACCATGTATACACATTTACCATGATATTAAATACATTAAAAACATTAATAGTCATGCATAAAACAAATGCAGAAACTGGTTTATTTTTGTGTCTTGCCACATTCTGCCACATAACTTTTAAATAAGGAATTATGTTTTTCTATTTTTGTTTTTAAAAATTAAAACAGAAGCTAATTGCAAACAATAGGATAAAGATGCAAATGAAAAATCAGAGCCAATCAGGCTACAAAATACTACTGTAATTTAATAATCAAATGTAAAATAAAACTGCACTGTATGAATTAAATATACTGATATGACTGGCAAATTATGAAGGCTCCATAATGTGACCTTTTGTGAAATGTTTAGCTTGAAAAATATGCTTGTGCTGTGTTTTTTATATATAAATTCGATTTGATGGTATCCTATTGTTATTGTTGTCATCAATTGTTATTGAGTGACAACAATTAACTTTTACAAGTAACTATTGTAAATCTGTACATTTAATTCTCTGGGATACTTCATTGTGATTGGTCCATAGCTGAGCTCAGCAGTATATATTTATCAGAAAGCAGAAAAATTGATGTCATAGACTGTTGTCTATGGCAACACTATTTAAAAGACCACTCATCCGGGAAACCATGTTTCCTGTGCTGGTGTTCTGTCTCTATGCATGCATAGAAAGACAGAACACTAATAAGTAAGTAAATACTTAATGAGTAAACTAATAACTCATGAAATCAATATTTCATGTCCATGTTTTTATTATCTACTTAGTAAGTGTGTAATAAATGGTACAATATACAGTCAAATGGTCATTATTTCAAAATAAAAAGTATTGATCACCCCTTTCAGGGTGTGTTTTATATCCTATAAATATAGTGTGAGTTACACCTGTTGTTGCTTTAGAGGGCAGTCTGTATTAGTATAGTTTTGGTCATTAATACTTAAGGAAACACATCTGTGTTTCATTTCCTCTTTCTTTTTTTTTTTTCATAGCTTTTCTTATTTGGACCAGGAATTGCAACAGACGTCATAAGATACATATGCAGTCACAGTTTTGTATGCACATGTGTTTCATTTATTTTGCTCTATTTTTCAGGAGGTGCAGAAAGCAGCTTCTCTGTTCTCCATGTACAGTGATTTGTCTTCCATGATCCCCAGTCTCATAGTGACCCTCCTCCTGGTGGCCTACAGCGATCAGCGCGGCCGAAAGATCACTATTATTTTGCCCCTCATTGGGTCTCTGGTCTACACGCTTTCATTCCTGGCGGTCTCCTTCTTCGAGCTCAACCTCTACCTCCTCATTGCCGCCAGCTTCGTAAGTGCCCTCTTTGGGGGTATCGGCACCATGCTAGGCGGCTGCTTCTCCTATGTGGCCGATTTGTGCGAGGACAGCAAGCAGAAAACTCTTCGCATGGCTGTGGTGGACATGATGATTGGCTTGTTGGCCGGTGTGGCGTCAATCTCCACTGGCTACTTCCTGCATGCGGTCGGGTTCAACT